ACAGTCCATGGATTGGGAAAAAAATCTTTAACAATGATATGGACAAGGGAATAATTACTAAAATCTATAGGATTCTTAAACACCTCAATATGAAAATATTGTACACCATCGCTAAATTCTTGGCACAATCAACAGAATTACTTTATGCCCTAGGGGTATATTTGTAATGTTCTTTATCATAAAATGCTAATACTATCTCTAAAGTGAACATAGATAAACTATAGATATATGAATGAATTTGAAGCTCTAACTTACTTCTAGCCCCAATCTAAGAGCAATTAGTTCTTATGACATGGCCTTGCTTGATGCTCGCTCTCATGAAGAGATCATTGAAGATATGAGTGCTACAGCAAAGTGGGGTGAAGAAACCAGATTATACCTAGCTATCAGGAAGAATAGACTTTGGGGTCTTAAAGGCTTATGTTTAATTAAGCAGACATCTAAGTAAGGGGTCAACCAAGTCCACATGGAAAAAGAACACATGCCTGTGTGATCCAACGATTATAATAATAAAATCCAAATCTGAAGGAATAGACAACATCAGAGCTTAAATTGTGAACACCCAGTTTGCAGAAAAGTATGGATGACAGTGGAAGCCCAAATTCCATTTTCAGGGTCCCCACATGGTTTAAACCTCCAGTCAATCCCCTCTGACCATAGTCAAAGGATATGAATAGCCTTGCTATCAGACAGAGAGCATTTTAAAGTAAGTTATGACACTCATAGTTAGGTTAAAATGTATTACTTTTATTATTTGAGTTCCCTTTTGGCCCATCTTAAAGTTTTTTCTGTGTTTAATATTTTCTGCTTTCTCTTTGATTTTTTTGAATTGAGATATCAATGTGGGTATAATAGCAACAGTTCTTGATTTTATGATTGAACATCTAGAAATAATTGAACATTGACCAATATTTTTTGGTACAGTAACTGTGTATTCCTTCTATCATCTTTTGACATTTTCTCCATCCAACATTTTTCCCATGGAAGCCTTCAGTATTGCATCATATTTACTTTTAAATATCCCCATTATATATTTTGTTTAATGTTTCTTATGCATTTGTTGTTGTGTTTTGAAAATAATTCGTTCCCAAATGCTTTGCTTTTTTTTCTTCCAAGAATAAAAAAGTACTAAAAAATATGTAAATAAATAAATGCAAAACTGTTTTGATTACCATAGCATTACATTATGTTTTGAAATTAGTAAGTATGAATCCTCTTACTGTGCTGTTATTCAAATATTGACTATTCTGGACCTCTTGACTTTCTATATAAAATGGAGGATTCATTTTTCCATTCCATTATTTACATTTTGAGCCAAGATCAAATAGATCAGAAAGAAGAAAAAATATTTTTCCTGATCAAAGAGATCAAATTTGGAACAAAATTCTTATAGAAATCAGACTTAATGCACCTATTGAAAGTAGAATAACCACCAATTTTATTGCTCCATGATAATCTTTAAGCTGTGAACAGATACTATACCCTGAAATAATTTTTTTAACCAAATTTCCAATTGGCTCAACCAGTAAGGAATGTTCACCTTGAGAAGTGCACTCCTTTGAAGAATTATCTACAATAAATCCAATTGACAACTATAACTGCAAAATAGAGAGGAGACTTTTATGAGAAAGAGAGAGGCTGTGTTCATGGTGGTAAAGCAATATGGGTCGAAATGACACAGTTTGAATGTAACCAATGCAATTGAACTGTCAGTGTAGAAAATATTAAATGAGTGTATTTTAATGTTTATTTTCACCAAAAATAATAATTTTATTTTAATTGCATGAGATGATAATATTTTAGGTATACTATATTAATAAAAGACCTGTGGTGGCACTCTCCTGTAAGCATTGCATTGCTGATTTCTAGTTCAAACTCATCAGAGGCTCTGTAGAAGAAAATTGAGGCTTTCTGCTCCCATAAAGACTTATAGCCTTAGAAACCCTATATAAGATCACCATGAATAAGAATTGACTCGATGGCAGTGGGTTGGTGTTAAATAAAGTACATTATTAAAATTAAAAAACAAACAAACTCTAGGCAGCACAGTTCTCTTCTCACACACTTGGAGTCACCATGAGTCACATTCAACTCAATGATTACTAGCTAAATATGTGAAACCTGTCTGCCTGATAGTCTGTAGTTGCTGATTGTTTGTTTAGCTCTACCCCCTTGATTTTGCCTTCAAGTTTGCTTTTTACAAGTTATTCCTATATCTGAATTGCTTTAGTATTAAGCTAAAGATTAGTCATCAGTTATTCTCAAATTCTTCAAACCAGAATGGCTTCCCCTCTCTGCTGATGAATCTGCGTAGGGGCTGGAGACTCCATTCAAATTTCAAGCTGTTTTCTACTGCTGACAACAATGACATATCTAAGGTATTAACTGTCTAAACCAGTGGTTCTCAACCTTCCTAATGCTGTGACCCTTTAATACAGTTCCTTTAATACAGTTCCTCATGTTGTGGTGAACCTCCAACCTAAAAATTATTTTTGTTGCTACTTCTTAACTGTAATTTTGCTACTGTTATGAATCAGGCAACCCCTGTGAAAGGATCCTCCAGCCCTCAAAGGGGTCGCAACTCACAGGTTGAGAACCACTGGTCTAAACAAAAGGAAACTTTTGAGAGTAAAAAGGGATACTGTTAGTAAGTACTCCGGGACAATAGCTTTAAACTATGACTCTCCCAGGTAAACTAGATTATAGACTCTCTTCCACACACATAGCTTTATTAAAATTCATTATTGGCCAAAAAAAAGTATCCACTTTAATTCCATTTTATACTTTCCCTGTTTTTTCTTACAGATCCACTGCACTTGGAGAATAATGCACTATCATGCCAGCAATCTTCAGCTAGTAAAAAAGGGATGTTCACAGATGACTTACACAAGCTGGTAGATGACTGGACTAAGGAGACAATAGGAAATTCTCTTATTAAGCCAAGTTTAAACCAACTTAAAAAGAGTCAACAAAAATTAGAAACAGACAACCGGAACAAAATACATGAAGTAAGTTGTGTGTCCCTGGTCCTGTTTATTTATGAGAACTAAAATAATAAAAATTGATGCACTTAGGCCTATCATTGTGTGCCTCTTACAGTTATAGTCACTGTTAGAGAAATACTATCATTGACAACAGAGATTTTTAACCTTGTCTAAATTTACCATGCTTTTTAGAAAATTACATTTCAGATCAAGGGTCAGCATGTTTTTTCTGGGAAAGGGTCAGGTAGTAGATATTTTTAGGTTTTTCAAGCCATATAGGTGCAACTACTCAGCTCTGCCATTATAGTAAAAAATAGTCATAGACAATACATAAATAGACATGGCTTTACACTAATAGAATTTGATTTATCAAAACCAATGGCAGGGCTATAGTTCACTGGCCCTTATCTTAGACCATAGTACCTTGGGGGGAAAGCATCAAATATCAAAGAAGAAAACATCTAAGAAAAGAGTGAGGATTAAATTAATCATCTGATGATACAAGAAATATTTAAAATTTATGGAAAAACGACCCTGTGTTTTACATCTGTTTTATTTGCGCCAACAAGTTAGCTTATTTGTTCAGTATGAAAAAGAATTTTAAAATACATTAAGCTAGAGTATTATATATCTTAAGTTTGTGAACTAGATTCATAGTTAATTTCATGTGGTATTAGGTGCACATGCAGTTGAAATGTAGAAAGATATCTACAATGTGTTTTGTAGTGGGAAGAAGGTAGGTTTACAGAACAGTATATAAAGTATAGAATAATTTATGTAAAATTATGTATATTATATAGATATGCATAAGGAAATAGTAAAAGTTGTTACCAAAATGCTATGTGGCGGAATTTGAGCCTTTTTTACTTTGTACTTACATGTGTTTGAAGCTTTAAGGTATCACTTTTTCAAAGCCTATTAAAGTGCATCAGTGCGTAGAATCTGAACCTTCATAGTAGAAAGAGATATAGCTGTGTGTATGCATGTGTGTGAGAGGGCGGGGGGCTTCAAAAACGTTCATGGAAATATCCCATTATTTTAAATTCCGTTTTTTCACAGTCTTTTTGAAGATATCATGTGTAGTCATTGACTATAGCTTGGTACAGAAAGCCTGAAAACATATATTGGCAATGTTGAATACAAAGTTTAATATCCTAGGCTTCCCAAACTAGTAAGCAGTATATCTGCTTGGAGACTATGTATGTTTATCTTATTCCTGGCATCAAGTTATACTCAGATAATATCACCATTGTAAAAATTGGGAGCCTGTAGAGGCATATCTCAAGGCATAAATGCATTTATGTTGTCTGAGAGACTGAACACTATATGGAGACTTTTGTTAACTAATGGTGATTTATTGCAGTCTGTGGCTGTGGAGGAAGAATGATTAGAAAATAGAGTATTAATAAAAGCAGTGAAAGTCTTTAAGGAGACTTGGGTTACAATAATCAGTTCATTTATTCATATGACAAGTCACTTGATCTCTCTATGCTTCCATTTCCATGTCTTTAAAACAGGGATAATACATGACTTACAAAATTGTTGTGAGAATTAAGTAAGAAAACACTTTGTGCGTGCCTAGCACAAAGAACCAAAAAATTAAAACAAAAGTGTCCACTACAGTCAAGTCAATTCTGACTCATAAAGGCCCCATAGGACAGAATAGAACTGCCCCAGTGGGTTTCAAAGACTGTAATCTTTATTGATGCAAACTGTCACATCCTTTTTCCACAGAGCAGCAGATAGACTTGAACTGCCAACCTTTCTTTTAGCAGCTGAGCATTTTAACCACTACACCACCAGGACTCCTTTATCACATAATATGTACCCTATAGTGTGAAGACCCCATCTCAGTATTTAATGTTCTTACATGTTACTCTTCTGTAGCACTACTTAGAAAATTTTATTCACACAACAATTTTTTAGCACCTGTTCATTATGTTCCAAATCTTTTACTAGGCACTAGGGTTGGGTCCCTATCTTCAAGGAGCTTATTAAACTCTGACACTAACAAGACTTGTATAAAGAAATATAAAAATTTCAACTGTGATAAGGACTACAAAGCAGGGATATAGGACAACTCACTATATAGTAAAGGAAATTTGGCTTTGTAAAAGGAGGTCAAAGAAAGCATCCCTGAGAAAGTAATGATTGAGCAGAGATCTGAAGGGAAAGTAGATGTTAACTAGGTAAAAGTGAGAGGAAATAGGATTCCAAGTAGAAAGAACAGCATATGCAAGTTCTGTACACAGACCTGTGAAGGGTCTGAAAGTAGGCCAGTTTGGGTGTAGTGAAGAGAGCAAGGAGCAGTTGATGCACAAAGGCTCTAAGGAGATATGTAGAGTATTAAAGGTAGCAATGATTAGGAACTTCATTTTTTTAAATTAGGAACTTTTTGTCATTATATAAGAACAGTCTTAGCCATAGAAGCCCTAAGGTTGGCATGATCAAATTAGCTTTTAGAAAAGATCACTCTGACTGAGGTAAGAGAAAGGATTAAGGGGTTGAAGGGTTGGTAAGGCTTGTTAAGAGTTAATCAATAATAGTCCAGATAAGGGGAAATGAAAATGAAGAGCAGTGAACAGATTCAATTAAATTAGAAGAACTAAGAATTTAGGTCTGATACCAACTTTCCCTTTAATTGTGATTATCTACTTCCATTCGACGTATTCACCTGTGTGTAAGACTTCAGTATTCTCTATACATATTGATAATCGCAATACAATGTGATAAAAGGAGTCAGGGATGTTTTCCTCAGTACTCCTTAAAACATAATCATCTCTTTGTCTTGAGTTTAAATTTTCAACAGAAATACTGGGCTTGACAGTGAGTAGAAGTAGGAGCAGGGAGGTAACACTTATTGAGCTTCTACTATATGCCAGGCTCTTTCCACTGTGCCACACTAAAGAATGCTAATGTATCTCCCAAGAATGAAGTGTTGAGACTGGCTATTGTTTATGGTAGGGAGGGTAGTCGGTACTTGTTAGGCTGCTAACTGCAAGGTCATCAATTTGAAACCACCAGTCACTCCGCAGGAGAAATATGAAGCTTTATATTCCCATAAAGAGTTAACAATCTCAGAAACTCACAAGGGTAGTACTACACTGTCCTATAGTCAGCATAGACTCCATGCCACTGAATTTCGGGAGGGGGCGGGTATTCGTTTTTTATGATGCTGATATGAGAATACCTCAGACTGGCACAAGCCAAACCCACTGCCATCGGCTTGTTTCTGACTCATAGTGACCCTATAACCGAGAGCAAAACTCTTCCCTAAGGTTTCTGAAACTGTACCCTACTATGCTACCAGAGTTGAAGGAAATAAAAATAGAAAAGTCATGCTAGCATGAGGAAAATAGGACCTAAAGTCTATGGAGAGGTAGAATATCTTGGGCCTTGAAGTTAGCTGGAACTGTGTTCATGACTACTAACTTGTTTTGTAGTGTTAAGTGAGTTACAAATTTTGAGCTACCGAAAATAATCTGAAATTCCTACCTCACCTGAAAATCACTATCTTGCAGAGCAATGAAGATGAAATGAGATAATGCATGTAACTGTGTTTAGCACACAAACTAGAAAAGAATATAAGTAGATGAAAAGTTTATACCAATAAACTGATCTTTTGTTTTTATTTTTTGTTTTTGTTAGAATACTTCATCAACATGGATTTCGTCTCTGTCCCAAATCCGTGGAGCTGTTCCAACTTCCTTACCACAAGGACTCTCACTCCCTTCATTTCCTGGGCCATTATCATCATATGGAATGCCCCATGTTTGTCAACATAATGCTGTTGGGGGGACAGGGTATCCAGTACAGTGGATTGGGATTTCAGGAACAGCACAACAGTCTGTAGCTATTCCTACCCAACCAGTGGGACAATTTCAGCCAGGGATGAATTTGCAGGCATTTACAGCTTCACCAGGGCAGAATCCGGCCACAATCCCTCCTGGGCCTAAATGAGTCAGAATAGATGGTGAAGTAAAGGGAGATTTTTTTTTCAGAATTATTTGCAAGACACCTAAAATATTAACATTTCTTCTTAGGTTCTGCCATGTTTTTCTTCATTTCAGTTTACTTTTGACTTTTTTCTGTTCTAATGTAGTATTTGATACAGTTCATCATTCTATAGAAATGTGCAGTTTGTACATAGAACATGGCTCACAGAATGATTTTGCACTTCAAATCCTATCCTCTTTGATACTTAATTTTAAAAAAATACTGTTCACACCGCTTTAATAGGCTTGACTTGACCATTACCTTTTTCCAGGACAATTTCCATGCATTGCTGAGAAGCCCTTATTTTTTTTTAACTGCTGTTGTTTGTAGCTGCATGATACTTTTAAGTGTATAAAATAATTTAAATTGATTCTCCCCAAACATAGATGAAGTGAGATACTCCAGCAGCCAGAGTCTTAAGTGATTCTTCACATGTTTATCTTAGGTTTAACTTTCACAATGGATAGGATAAACATACTGCTGGGATTTTTTTTTTTTTTTGGTATAAAACTAGAATAACTTTGTCAACCAAGACAGAACATGAGCCCTTCTTAATGTGATTTCCTTCCTGTCATCACAACAGTAGGTGTGAATCCTTGTTTGGGGTGAGGTGGAGGGAAAGGTTAAAAACAAAGAACTGTAGCAGTTCCTTGATTCTGCAGATACTATAGCTGCTTTAAGATTTCAGTAGTAATTCAAAACATCTCTGAGTAAAGCAGCTAGCTATTTCCTTGTTTCTCATGCACACATTATATTGCTTGGGGGCATCTGAGAAGCATTGCTTTGATTTTCATTCTTTTTCAAGAGATATATTGTAGCTGTTAAGAATCTCATTTGGGGGAAATCTTTGTAGTCCTAACAAAGAAGATTCAAGTTACAAGTCTATTAAACCATTCTTGTAAAGTGAAATTTACTTGACACAGTAGGTTTTGATTCTTATACATGAAACACTGACTTTACAAGGTTCTAAGAGATGTGGAGTATGCGCTATCCTGCAGTGAGATTGTAGACCCTTGAAAGATACTATTTGAATTATTCTTAGATTTTTTTTGGATTGCCATGTTTTAGTTGTTATAATTTCGTGTTAGTATCTATAGTGTCTTAGATGATTTTAGATCTTAGATTCTTGGCAGCCTTTTTAGAATCTGAAAGAGATCACTGTCAAGTTGCACTTTACTGGTTTTTAACCAATTTTGGGAGGAAGTGAGGCAATCTTAAAATGTACACTTTTGGTTTTTAAGAAGGCTAATTATAATAATCCTAACATCCTATGCTTAATCTGTAAAACCCAAATAAGATTATTAAATGGTGTTTACCAACTACCAGGTACACATGTTTAACCTACTCACTTTTTTTCACTCTGAAACTTTCAAAGTTATTTCTAGTACACACTTACCTAATTAGGAGTTCTCTTCTACTGATAACATTCCAAATTGTCACACAACACTTATGCTAACAGATTTTCCTCTAAAAAGTATACCCCACGGGCTTTCCATAAAATAAGGAAAAATTTAATGGATGAGCATTTTGAGGTTATTTTTGGCAGTTTACTTTGTGACATCCATTGTTCCCTTTTAATAATACATGTCTTATATTGCTTAGCTGAGAACCACACCCATTATGAAAATTTTGTTGCTATTATTTGGGGCATTTGGACTGCATTTTGACACTTGTTATTGATAAAAGCCATATATTTCCCTTACTTTCCTTTCATAAAAGATATTCTGTTTTGAGTTAGTATAAATCTTATATACAAATTCTTCACATTTCTTCTATGGTATTGGTTTGCAAATTGAACTCATTTTATGACAGAAGTGTGATGGTAAATGCTTGCATTGCAATTTTCCATAAAAACCAATGCCTAGCATAATTCTTTAAAACTGTTTAATATTCATTATAAGAATTGACTTTATAAAACCTATAAAGTGAAAATACTGCAAGTTTTAAGCCAGACCCCTTCTTTCTTAGTTACAATCTTTTAAAATAATGTATCCCAAGATGAAAAAACTTCCAAGGATGACATGCACACTTATATTGATTAATATACACTGTATGTCCTGTATTTTGTCACCACCTCTGCTTTACATAAAATTCATTCCTCTTATTTGCCTGCAGACTTTTGCAGTGCCTTGTAATACTTAGAATCTTTTCAGGTTTTTGCTGGAAAGAAAGTAGTGTTCTAAAGTTTGAAAATGGTGAATATTGTACTGCTGTCTCCATGGTGACTGCAGTAGTTGGGTTAACATATATGTTATGTATACATTATGTGTATGTAATGTGTGTGTAAATTTTAAAATACATTTTAAAAGTGAATTTGTGCAGAAATGAAGAAAACAGTGTTATTCAAATCACTGTGGGTTTTTATTTAAATTATTTTCCCATGAATATCTGATTCAGATTATACATTTTGACTGTAAATATTTGCTAGTTTTTTATCCAGGGGTTTGTGTCATTTTATAATTTTGCTAATTCACTTAATATTGCTGTCTTCATCCTTCCTGAGGTACATGCAACTCTGTCTCCCCAGAAATAAATAACTCCTAAGGTAAATCCCAGAAACTCCTTCTTACCTAACAAAAAGAGTACTATATAAAAAGGGCCTTCTACCCATTTCCAAAAAATACACAAAACTGTCCTTTTAATTCTCTGTAAAAGAGAGAAAAAATGTACTTAACCAATTTGCTTGTAAAGTTTATTTGGGAGTGGTGGGGGGACAGAGTGTAAATCTTTATGTACAACTACCATGTATACTTCTCAAAGTGTAAGTCAAATGAATAGCACGGTATCTCCATTATGTAGTAATGTGAGCATTTCCTCATGAAGTTCTGATGCTATGTCTGTGAAGTCTGGGTGTAACATCTTCAGAATATGAAAACAGTATTGACGTAAATCCAATGAAAATAACCTTGTGTATATTTATAGCAATCTTGAATCTCTATTTAAGGTAATTTGCTATAACAAATATCCATTCTGTTTTTCATCTCTTTCTTGACAGTTTTATATCAAGCATGAATTCTGATGGTTTGACAACAAAATTATCGGTGAAAATTTAAAAGGCACTTTTCTGCTGTGAGTTTTGGATTGAATGTGGAGTGTTATGTGCATTCTGATGGAATATATCTTTTTAGAACCCCAAATTTAATTCCAGTCCAATTACTTTTGTTTACCTTGCTTTCAGTGCTAATTATAAGCTATAAGTAACACTGCCTTTGATTTATCTTTTCTTTTTTGCTGTGATTCTCTGTATTCTTTCAGGTTGTAAACCTGATCTTCCTCCTTGTGCTATCCATTAATTTGCTACCAATTTATTTTAAGTTACTACAAGATCCATGTATATGCCTCTATGAAGTAGTTCTGGGGATTTGGGAATGGAGCCTGGAGACACAAATGTAGCTGGTAACAATTCAGGACTTTGTTATAGGAGTTATAAAAGAAATTAATGGAAAGTACCTAAATTAGGCATTCCTGGGCCTGTAGCTTGGTATTTTTTTGTTAGTGATGCATTTCTTGTCTGTGTACCTAAAGGGCTATATGTTGAAATCGGCTTACCTACCATAATGAAATATTTGACAAACTGTACAAAAATGGCCTGTCATTCTTCTTATTAGCATACTACTAGGTACTTGCAGTGATGTTTGTTACCTTTTCATTGAATTGTAGTAGGTGGTAAAGGTTTTGCATAACTATTTATCTACTCTCTAAAACATTTATGGAGGCATTGACTTTCTTCTTTGCTATCTTTTATGAGTGATTAAAAATTTTCCCCTGAAAACTCAGCAAATGTTTATAAACCAGATGTTCCTTGTTTCACATTTGTTTACTCTCTAACATTACTGCATATTTTGAGATAGTTTTAGTCATCATAAATGTCTGAGGTATATTTACCACCAGTTTTGGATTCAATTCTTTAATCCTCTGTTTGGTTCCGGGGGTGGGGGGGTGGGGGGTGTGTGTGAGATATTTAAGGTATGTGCAGACCATTTTTCTAGAATAGATTGTTCCTTTATGAATATGTAGTTCATCGGGAACTTGGTTTTTCTCCTCTGTTTAGAAGTTGAATCAGAAAGGGAGAGAGTGTGTAGAAAAGGTTATTGACTAGGTTAATGTAATTTTTAGCACAGATTTTTTAAAATGCAATCCAGATTGTGGTGACACTCAGACTTGGTAAATTCCTTTGGAGTAGGATTAACATGAAATTTTGATGAAGCCAAATACTTTTAGGTCACCCTGGAAATAATCTTTTTATGTGAAGAATGAACACAAACATTGACCAGAGACCTTGGCAGTGAACAAAGGAAAGGCTCCAAGGCCTAGGATAGTAACTAAAGTGTACCAAGATTATTTTCAACTGAAATAGCTAGAAAAGTATATAAACCAGCAGCTCCCATTGTGCAAGGTTTTTTTTTCTTAATTATAAAACCAAAAAGGTGAAAAATCAAGCAAGAAGGGAAAAGAGAAACTGGGTTGGGGGGTGGGGTGGAGTTTCACCCTAAAGCTCCTAAAGGCATGTTTTTCATCCTTCCAGATCTTCTTTTCTTCCCAATAAATGTAAGAGTTATTATTGAGGTTTGTGGTCCAGAGGATAGCCTCAGTAGAAATAGTGACTATTCAGAAAGTGCAGTTCAAGGTCTGTCATGCTCAATCACATAATGCTGTAATTTTTATATGAATATTAAGCATGTAGACCTAGTGCAGCATGGGAGCCACTAAGGAATTATGCAATTAAAAAACTTTCATGCATAATTTACTATGGAAGTATGCAGATCTTCAGCGACTTTACTACACTTAACATATAGCTGTATATGTGAACTCTCCTTTCTTCGCTGGGGAAATGTAGCATTATATAGAACGTTGTGAATTTTATTTTTGATCATTTTTTACATTAGTTATTTTGTGTTAGTTTTGTTTTGTTTGTAAACTGAGTGATATGCTTTCAGAAGTTGTCTGATTTGGGTTCTTTGTAACTGCTATTTTAATTTCATTTGTACCCAAACATTGTAAGTATTTTGTTT